AAATGGAGGGTGGTCAAGCTAAAACCTGGCACGAGGGTATGAAAACCCTAACCAGGAAACTGGCTCACATAGGTCCTGTTAGGCTCCCTGGCTGGGGACCTCGGGATGATCGTACCCGATGGTTAGAGACACAGTGATATCGCTGAGTGTCGCAAACAGTGGCGCTCATGCATCTACTCATTATTCTTGTAACGTCAGTCTATGAAAATGTGCTATCTTCCGCTTGAATCTGCTCTCAACATTCTAACCATCGTTCTGCTGTTTTATCCAAATAGGCAACCAGAAGACAGCAATCAAAACCGGCGCACGAAAGTGCATGGTTACTGGTTGTAAGAACTAAACTGAACTAGAAACTGCCCGACGATGGGCTTGCGAATGCAGACTGGATGTTAGTGAATACCATCGATCAGACGAATGACCTTTCGTTGAACACGACCAAGAAGGGAAAGAGAAGAAAAAGACCCACTCCACACGTGATTGTAGTATTTAAGAGCAGGGTGGAGTTTTGGACAGTAGAAGATGAGCTGGGGTGAAAAAACTTCCGGCGCGAAATAAGAAAACAATCTTGCGCGCACCACAAGCAAGCTTAGCTGTAAAAGGGGATCAGTATAAATAAGAAAACTATCCATGAAGAGAAACGTTCTGTGGAGCGCAGCTGGTTGGAATCAACTGATAAGGGAAGGGGGAGAATGAATGTTTTTTCGAGAACTTGAAAGAAGGGGGGGTTTAGAAGCATTGAATGAAGCGTGGTTGATATTGCTCCAGAGTCCAGTGACACATTAACTGCACTATGATCACGATCGATATTGGTTTGGGCGGGTATTGCGGCAGGAGAGTGAACAGTGGATGGTGGTGCCATCGGCAAAAGAATGGATCGGGTTGACAGTTTTGGAAGGGAGATCTTTTTTGAATAGAAGAAAAAGAAGGGGGCTAGTACTAAGCCTTGGGGAACGGCTGAGATAGATCCCCACCACCTCAGACGTAGATGGTTCGCTTGCTGAGGAAACTTGATATCCACGCTACGAGCGCCGGAGGAAACCCTCAACGTGGGTAGTTTGGCCAGTAAACCATGTGCCAAACTCAGTTGAGATATCAAGGGAGACCGAGTGTGTTTCTCTGTGGTTATCAAGTGCAGCTGACCAGGATTGTGAGACAAGAGCCAGCAAGTCGCTGGTCGAACGACGCTGTCGGAAACCATACTGGCGATCGTCCAGTAGTTCTTAACATTCGAGGAACGGCCATAGTTGACCAGATGTATATATATTTCCACACACGTCTGAATCCAGACTGTGTGCCAAACACCATGTTATAATAATCTTTATGATAAAGAAAAACGTCCCATGATTTGCATGTGGGCGAAATACTGCCATGTTGCCCAGACCAAGGCAGGTGACTTTTCTTGAGGAATTCACAACTGGCGCCTTTGGCTAGCCAAAGCCTGACCCGCAAGGCAGCGGATCATTCATCCTTTGGACGGGGTCAAACGTCCAAGGTGCCCAATACACTTCGACACCCAGTCGGGTGACCACTACCACAACCGAAAAGGTGTGGGTGTGGTTCGTACGCCTGTTCCTGGTTGGTTTGGAATCAGGATTTTTGGCCAACCCACCTGGGTGAACTACCAGTGGTCCACCAACCCGGTTATAGCCCCGGATCTCGGCTTTTCATCCTCGCGCTTTGGTGCGAAAACACGGCCACGAGAAGTCAGTCAGTAGGGCATCCTCAGTAAAGGCTATTCGAGACGCTTGGTCATATGGGAGCATTTCGCGAGGTGCAAGAGAAGGGTGATCAGCCGCAACCCTAGACATCCACCCTCAACCATACTGAGGATTTTGGAGGCGTAACTTTAACTAGTGGTTGTCTGCAGCAATGAAACTTTAGCTGTTTGAGAATCTAACTATTTGGTGTACGAGAATTACCCATGCATATGTATAGGGAGTTTAAATACGCGTTAGTATGCGATTGCGACAACATAATATGCTTGGGTTTGTACAAACAAACTCTCGAAATCCGGCTTGGACAGCTGCCAATACTGACTTGACTGACTAGACTTGACTTGAGATACTTGGTCAAAAAGAGGGTGACCAGCCACAACCCAAGACACCCATCCCCGACCATACTGAGTCTTTCAGTGGCAGTAAAGATCACTATTTATGGTTCGAGACGTAAAAGGCCGTGTTCTAAAAATACTCGATACTGAAAGTTAATACGCATTCTTTTTACCATTACTGGTTGTGGAGTAAGGCCTAAATAACAGTACCGATTCCTCTTCAATTGGTGGGTGACCGAAACGTCCTCGTAACAGGCCATTCCTAGTCCCATTATTACATGTTACCATATGCTATGTTATCATATGTTACATATGTTATCAAGCTCCCGAGGTACTCAAAGCTCTCAACTACTTCCAACTGATCACCACAGAGGGTGAGTGCAGGCTCCTACCAGTCTTGAACAAGCACTTTGAACTTTGAAGGTGTAAATCACATACCGTACTTGGATACCTATACCGCCAAGCGGTTCAAAGCGTCTTGAACTGTCTGTGTGTTGTCACCCAGCAGGGCTATACCATCGACATATTCTAAGTCAAGGACTCTGTTTCCTGAGAGGAGTTCGACTCCACCGCTTGCTAGACCGGACAAAGCATTCCGTAGAACATCCTCTATGACAAAGTTGAAAAGGAATGGGGATATAGGGCAACCTTGTAGAGCTTTACTCGAAACTTCGAAGGGTGGCGAAAGCTGGGCATTGGCCCTAACCCGACCTAAGGTATGACAATACAATTCTTTGAGGAACGGCACATACTTCATACTTACATACTCCATTCCTCAATAAACACTTCCATAGTGCGGTCCTATCGACAGAGTTGAAGGCCTCGCGAATGTCTAAGAATACAATGATCGTTGGTCTTTGATAGGCATGACGATGCTCTAGCAGCTGTCGGAGGGTAAAGATTTAATCGATGCATCCACGACCGGCACGAAACCCAACCTGCTCCTCGCGATTCTGCTCCTGACGCATAGTGTACAATCGGCGGAGAATGACGGACGCCAACAGCGTTGACGTAATCGGGATTAGGCTTATACCCCTATGATTGGCGCAGTCATTGCGCGGGCCCTTTTTGAAGATGGGGACAACAATCGATTCCCCGCACGAGGAGGGAACCTGCTCAGTGTTCCAAATTTTAGAGAACAGAACTTAGGCGTGCTGGTTCCTACAACTGACCACAGTGTAACCGTCGTTATATCATGCGTTTGGAACGCCCACCGAAGCACAGGATCAGCTTGGCGCAAACTAACGCGTGGTCAGATCCGAGGGGAGTGCTCCAGTACGATCGGCAGTCTTGTATACAACCCCACCATTGGTGGCTTATAGCGATGTGGTCGATCTGCGTCCATCGCTGACTCGAGGAGGGCGGACGCCAAGTGGCGTACCGGCAGTTGGAGCGTCTGAAGTTCCTACTGGCGAGGAACAGACGGTGGTCGGAACACAGGGTCAACAACCGTTGTCCGAGCGACAGGCATCTAGTCCGAAAGGACCTCCCGGGTGCGCCTCATTCGAAATCAGCTGACTTACTCTAGCATTCATATCTACCGCTGAAATCACAATATCAGCCCGACTAGCTTTACGCAAGAGGTCGTGTAGTTTATGGTAAAATTCATCTTTGACTGCATCTGGGCTGTAGTCTGTTGGGGCGTACGCATACACAACAACCAGGTTTCGTCTATCGCGGCGATGACTGCTTACTTTGCACGAACCCATAAGTCTCACTGCGCGCAACCCACCGTCGACTGGGAACAAGTCCAAGAGCGCGGCTTCAGCTCTCGCTGAGCGCCACACCGACGCCAGCAAGACCGGAAGCCGCAGCCTCAAGGCCCCCAGAGAGGCGTAAGTGAAACTTCACTAATGGGTTTGATAGGGACGTCAATCGGATAATGGAGCTGGAGTCTTGAATGCGCGTATCTTGGATACAACACGCACCAATGGCTACGGTCTCGAGCGTACAAGCTAAACCGGCCTGTTGTCTTATACGCATCAGAGTGTACACATTATATGTGGCTAGTTTGATTGGGCATCGAGGGTGGAGAAGGGCTTCAACTGGTGGAGGATTCGGTGAGACTTGGACGTCAGTAGATGTAGGACATAAGGGAGCAGCGGCAGAGTTTCTGTCTGAGGCGGTACTGTTAGCACGATCGTCTGAAGAACCCGAGAGAGGGGGTGCTTTAAGAGGGTGAAGGTGGTATGGGGGAGGAATGGAGGGGGGGGCATGAGTGTGTGTACGGTGTAGAGTGTTTTTCTGTAGGTGCAGAAATGGTGGACTGAATGCACACGAAAGTCGAAGAGCCCATCATTGCTGGTGTTGTGGGCTGTTATACTACTCGGTCTCCCGGTCCAGAGTAGGCCTCGTTCGAGGGTGCACTCTAGCCTTTGCGCAACTAAGCGTGCACTGCAAAGCAGCAGCGATGTTCCAGATGAGCCAGTGGCCAGTATTTGGTTCATTCGCCGAACAGTAGATTTCGACAAGAGGCGACGGCCATATTCAGTGACGGGCCACACTCGCCACGTCACAGCGCTCTCCACAGATATGTGTGGTGTTTTGTGCGAAGTTCTCTTACCAGGAGGTAAACCCAACACATCCTCGAGCGCTGCCGCTGATCGTCCGCAACCGCTTATTCGGAGGGCCGAAGCCCCCCTTATTCACGGTTAGTCGTGAGTTGACGGCCGTTCCCCTATCCGCTACCTGGGAACGCGCTCGGTAGCATACATCTGCTCTCCCGAACACCGTATAGGCAGTCCCCTAAGGACAGAAAGAACGAAGAAGCGGAAGTGAGGAGATAAAAATCCGAAGATAGGCTGCAAACTAAATCGGGAGTGATAAATGGATCCACTGCAATGAATCTGGACTTGCGTTGAAACTGACAGTTGGTCGAAACCTGGGTCAGCCCTAAACGGTGTTAACAGTAATCACGTCTATGTCGAAATCGTCGATCGATGGACATCTACTGATGACGTAACTTCAGGTTAATTGCAGTAAGAAAGCAAACGATAGATTTTTAAAACCCTTGTCATTAATCCATTAAGATCTAAAAACAAAACGTTTTTCAGCATCAATTCTCGTTGTTCATGATTTATGAAGTTTTGACGCTTCACCGCAAATCCAGTTGGGATAAAACATTGTGATGTTAGCTTTCCTAATTGTTGCACCCTATATAAGGTCTTGTGTTTCCGCATTTCTGATATGCGGAAATTCTTATGCAATCACCTAGATTCTATATCGGCAACGTCGTTTAAATGGTAATTTCTATGTGGAGATTTTAGAATCAAACATATTGTAAAACACCCTGCTCAGTGGTCTCCGATTCTGTTCATTAAATTTGGCAACCAAAAAATATCCTACGTATAGTAGTCTCACGTTCGTTCCATGTTGTTTTACATGTTCCATGTTGAATAATGAATACAGGTAACCTACGAATAATCCGATTGAACCTTTTCGACTGAATTCGAGCTTGAAAATAGTTGGTTGTTTCTGTGTTTCTGGCTAAACTCAGGCTCTGCTTGATAACAACGTTGGCTGAGTACTTTCCACTCCTACCATCTATGGGCATCTACGTTCTGCATGAGATTGTATTGTATTATTGTAATAGATGAAATGTATTAGACGAAAATCTGAGGCGTAGCAATAAGACGCATAAAAGTTGGGTGTCATCATGTTGATGAAATTGTGCAATATTCTACCTTTTGCCGATTGGTTAATGTGGAAAAAATATTTTGAATCGTTTAATTCAGTTTGAGGTTACCAGTTGACATCATTGGCAAGCTGTTTTCTTATGGTGTATATTGTCCTCAAGGTTTACTGCATAACTTGGCATTTATTTGATAACTTTCACGAATTACATTAAACACACTTTTGGAAAGAGAAAAAGTATATTCGCCATCTGTCGACTAAGTAGGTCTGTCTTTTTTTTAGATGAACTGCTGTTCAAACGATGTCAATTGNTCTCAATCTTCATTATCTGGTATGCTATTCTGTTACTCCTGTCCTTTGTTGTTCGACTGATTTTTCTTTGAGACAGCACTCCAAGTCATAATACTGATGTGAAAGTAACGGTTTCAAGGAGTGGAATCAACATTGCGTTGTTAAGTAATGTCCATACTTTTTATTAGCTTTTCAAGGTCATACCAATTGCCATTTTTCTCTAAAGGCTTTAGAAGAAGTTTATTCTCTCGGGCAGGATGCTGGAAAAGTGGCGGAACAGTTTGCAACGCACTTCAGTCCCGTGTTTGATAGAAAAAAGGTGGGTTTCAATGTGACTTACAACTGAAGTCAATTTCACTCATCCTACCACTTATGTGCTATCTTGTCTACGCTGTTTTGTTACTTTTAATTTTTAGTGTCTAAATGTTGACGAATCTCTGATACATGACCCCCGAGAGTTTGCATAATCTGAGGTAGTGGGTACTTAGTTACTTTTGTATGTTGTTTCCACTGGTTTGGCCTGTTCTGCTTAGAGAATCGACAAGCACTGATTCGATCAATCAATGGTCCGGGATGGGGTTGGCATAAATCTTCTTTTATTTCTGAGAGTCCACAAACCGGACGACAACCAATGTGCACATCATCACTGTGTATCATTCGTATTAACCCGAGGAGATCTTACCCTATCTGAGACCTGGGAATGCCATCTCCAACCAATATCATCGTGATTGATAACTTTGTTTTTCTGAAGGCAGATTATCTTGATATCTCATATGAAAATGCATTTCATGGGTTTTTTAATATTTACAAAATATCTGCACCCATTGAATCTTTCCGCTTGTTGTTTGTTGTAAACACTGCGAAAACCTTCTATGTTAATGAATATTCCTGTTTTTTGTTGCACATAGCTTTATAGCTCACCACACATTACTTATACATAGTGGTCTGTTTTCCGGAAGTGAAAATCGATACATGCATGTGCCTTGTGAGAGCAGTATACTTGAGATTGCCGTTTAAGAATATGCTTTAACATGGTGTGAAGTCCAAGCACATTTAGGTTAATTTCCACAATATTCGGGGTCGTTGCAGTTCATCTTTTATGCACCCTAAGTTAGGACACTAACGATCGTGTCACTCTATTTTTCTACTGCTACCACTTCAAACATTACACCTCGCTATTCGTCGGTTTTTAGTGGCTCTGTTCAAATAATGGGCGATCAACAGCGCATGTTATTTTCGTCAGCGATTTGGCCTTGATTGATCCCGTGGCATGCATCGAGCCGTATACAAAGCCCAATCATTTACTCGATTCGATTTTCGCGGAGTTGTGTCCTGATGGGCATTCGCTACGCGTCACTTGGGATTCTTTGTGCAGTTGGTACGTCCTTCATTGAAACGATCTTTTCGTCCCTATTTCATTACCTGTTTTTTTTTTAAAATAATTTTTGACCGGTCAGGTTGTCGGAGTTAACTTAACTCATCCAAAACCGAACGCTCAAAGCCGTCGCTTTCAGTGGACGACACTTGTTTGTCACAGTGACGATTTTTTCAATCGAGTTCTTTTCAGCCGAATCTGTAAAATTCTCACCTTTCCATTTTGATTTAATCGATTTGAGCCATCATTTCTTATTGCCATATCAACAAATTGGTTTATATTCAAATGAATCAACCTGTTTCATTTGCGATTATCAAGAACTAACTTGTTTGAAGCATAACCCCTTCTCTTCACTTCTTTATTTCACTCACTACTTCTATACCGTCGTCTACTTTTCCTCTACCGTGATTGAATTGTTCTCCGCCATTTTCGTGCGAATCTGTGGAATAATTTCAACCCTTNTCTCTAGGTCCTTCAGACTTCTTGCCGATAGTTGTGATGCAACCAAAAGCATATCGGTCACGATTGTTTGCAAGCCTTTTTATGCATGCGATGAGTTTGTTTGTGGGATATAATTGTCGGTTCCGTTCCCCAAATCACATTCATTCCTTATTCACATTTATAATTTCACCACACCCATTGGTGCCGTTGCTGTTCGCCTTCTACTTCTTTCGATTATCGATGTCATGTCTGTGCTTGTCTTATGCTGATTCTGCTATTTGCTCATCCGACACACATGCGTCCATTGTTATCCGGGTGCATATTCCTTGACACGAACTTCTCCTCCAATTGTTTTGGTTGAGGTTCGGTGAAATTACTCGTCCTGAATGCACACATTTTTACCTATTGTTTTATACATGCGAATCCACCGATCTTCTGTGGCTCCCACTCCTTGGGAGTATGTTGATACCCCACATGCCAGTGCATTTTTAGATACGATGGAATACTTTGTGATAACCGACAGAGCTCTCTACGTTTACTTCTTTCTGGTCGGAACTCATCTGCTGTGTATACCTATCGTGTCCTGAGCGGGGACTATTGGTTTGGGAGTCGAAACTCCTCTCTGGGCTACAAGTAGCTATATTCATTTCGAGTACCGCTTTTAGGGTAACTGACGGCGTCCGCTCGCGAAGTCATCAAAACATTGTGTTCTTCAGAATTCCGGGTTTGTAGACGTTGCCGACTTCAACACTTATGTCGACCGAACGTTCGAGCGATGCACTGAATTCCAAGTTCTAAGTGACAAATCGGGACTGTCTGGTGATACAATACTATTGATATTCACAACTAAATAAATAAATAGATGAAATAAAAGCCTGAAGTTGTGAGTGTGTAAAAACGCGGCATCATGCGCTTCCTTCCCCCAAAAATGATGTGACTAGAAATAAAAGCAAAGCAAAAATAAGCGTTTAGCTATCTGCAATAACTTGTTATTGCTGTCCAAGGCGTTCAATTCAACAACTGCATTTGCATGCAGTTCAATCTAGACCAACTGTCAGGATAGTTTGGGTGACCAACATGTGTGCATAGTGTGATCAATGGACAACAGTTTACCAATCAAATGTAGTGAGCACACAATCTTCAATGGTGTGGGGACAGAGACAGTAGACATGTGTGTGCATGTGTTGTGTGTCATCAAGGACTCGGTACATAGCACCAACTAGCTGAGTCTTCTCCGTCTGGGAATCTGTGTGTATGAATTTCTGAACGGATAAATGTATGGTCTCATTGTTAGTTCACGTCGTTGCTCATTTGTTTTCTGTCCGCACCAGATACTGTGGTCTCNGGTCTCGGGTGTCGGCTTCACTCTTTTGGAGTTCACTGATTCCCCACATGTCAAATGTCATTAGTGTCATTAGCAATATAATTCTCTGATTCTTTGAGGACACTGAACACCAGTTTCGTCCTTGATGAAACCCCCCAACTAACTCAAAAATAACATTCTAGATTAATATAGCCATTCACTCATGGTGTTAGCCATCTACCGTGTAGATCAGGGGTAGGGGTTTTGACTCGCAATCCGATGGTCCACGGTTCGAGTCCCGCCCGGGACATGAAAAACATACTGCTGCTGAATCCTAACGAGCAGGAAAGAGATGTGCAGTGCGCTCTATCATCATCAAATAGAATTCTATTGCTTATTAAAACGATAAAAAAGTAGGATTCACGCGCAAAGCCTCAGAATAACTATAACCAAAGGCCGGATAATCACGAGAAACTACTTGGGTGTACCATGTATGACGTCTATTGTGCGACTTTTCCTAGTTTGTCCTACGTGGGATTGAGCAAACGAGTCAGTAATCTGCAGGTGAATCGTCGTGTCATTAGGAGTTCATCGGGAAGAAACTTGGTAACTCATCGCATTCAGATTGTTAGGCTTCGCTGTTTAGGGCTCTTATAGCGTATGTCCGGCTGTCGTCTGCCGCACTCGCCTCATTCGCTGTAGCCTCTCCGGGCTGGAGGAATCTATGTGAAGATCAACAACTGACGTGGAAACGAGGCATGCTGAAATACACAGAGCCATTAAGTAGAGTAAGTGTCTCGCGCCTTCTGAAAGACTGCAATCGGTTGGTGTCGTTCTTTTCTTTTTTTATCAGGCCAGACTGCATGCACGTTTAGAGTGTGAATTGTGTGTTGGCCGTAGAAGGTCACTGTCTTCCCCCCTCCCTCAAAATAAGCCCAATCCCTATCCACCTTATACATTACCCTCAATCTTGCATGCTTTGCGAGTTTTGCAGCGATCAGTGAAGTTGGCTTCACTGTATTTCGCTGTACACTAATGATGATGGTTTTTCCGAGGTTGTCCTATTCCCTTTATTTTTAGTTTGGCTGAGATGCTTTTATCTTTTGGTATAAATCCATAACCACATTGGTCATTTCTATCTGATGTCCACAGTGAGAACCGATCGTGCCATACTACCCATGAAACATTTCTGTGATCGCCATAGCAACTTCGCTGCTGGCAGTCGAAGATGGTCATACCTTCTGGGTGTCCGGCAGTTCAGGTGATAAATTTTCAATCGAATCTTATGAGCCTCCTTTTTCTCTCTGAATAGGTGCTCATCGAACAAATCCATATGTCGTCTTTTTTGGATGAGTAGTGTGCATTTTTAAATTATTACAATACGCACAATAACGCTCGTGTGACAGGTCATATATATTCAGTTGCGTTATATAAGATCATCTTCACTTGGTTATTAGAAATCAGACGACTATCAAATGTTATTCAAAATACATTCTATTCACTTTTCCCTCTGCTCCATTTATCGCTTTATTTGATCTGTTTCTAAAGTAAGTTATCAATGTTTTCCATTTGAAAACTCTTAGCACGGTTGTTTTGTGACAAGTTAAACTACGATTTTTTCCTGTTTCAAATGCTCTAGGATTACTGCAGCTGGCTCGCCTTATCAGGAGGAATCTTCGCAGTTCGACAAATTCACAACGGATCTCCTCAATACGCATAATCTCAGTGCACATCCCTTGTTTGATCGATACTTGTTATCAAAGGAACAGGTGAGTTATCTGTCATATCAAAAGTGCCTAAGTTATGCCTGCATGATACCCGTTGATCACCAATACCCATTGAACTGATTTGAGAAAAACTGGTTTTCTCCTTCAGACCTAAACCGGGGGGGGGGGGGGTGCGATTGATTTGTTAGAACTGGGAGAAGACAAATACTGCGAGATGTTAACATTTCTTTTAATCTCCTCAGTCATCACTACGTAAAACAGTCAGGTATTTATACAAGAAAGTTTTGATAACTATAGTGCTTATACGGATAGCAATCAGGGGAGGGGGGGGCAGTGGATCAGAATCAGTGCCCCACAGCAGTCAAGTTACGGAATCCAACTTTTCGTGCGCAGAAGTTTCTGACGCAACTAGTCAAATGGCCATTTTACTGATTCTGATCCCCCCTCCCCTGATTGCTATCCGTATAAGCACTATAGTTATCAAAACTTTCTGATTGTTTTACGTAGTGATGACTGAGGAGATTAAAAGAAATGTTAACATCTCGCAGTATTTGTCTTCTCCCAGTTCTCTCGAATTGGATAAAGGGGACCCAATGTTTCGAGGGAATAAATTGAAACGCGGCTAACCAGAGGTAACATATCAGCTTGCGAGCACAACCTTTTTGTTTCACTATGCGATAGTAGGAGACTAGTAACAGGTGACTAGGTTTCATCATTCAAAGATTTTGGCAGTTTATAAAATCGAGGAACTTCAGGCGGTAACGCACTGAAATCAGTTTACAGCTGTTTCATCCATGTTGAGTAACACACGCACACACCATGCACAACTGTTGGCACCGTGTGGATCGAGATCAGAACCGCAAGTCTGTAAGACAAGTATACGACTTACGCCATCACCGGAGAGATTGATTGATCTATTACTATTACTGTTACACCAGTCATATCCATTTTGACACCACTCTGATCCGTCGTTTAATGCTCTTCTATCCACTATTATTTTTATTCATCTGATCTTCGTTCGGGTCGGTCAGTGCACACTGCCGATGTTCTTAACCGGAATCAAGACATTTCTAGAATCTCTCTAACTTTTCGCTTCCGAATTCCTTTATTTTTACATCTCGAATTCCTTGCTATAATGATAAGAGGTATGTTAGTCATGACAACCATTTCACTGTCTCAGATGTTATACTTTGGCATAGATTCCATTCCCAACACCCTGTTTATGGTGTACTGGTAATATTTCTGAATCCAGATGGATAATGCACACGGGTGGCTTATTCATTAACACAATACACTGAAATCTTGCTTCATTGGCCCCATTTCCATAGGAAGCGCTCACAGCCATACAGCAAGAAATTCAAGATGTGGCAGATGCTGTCAATTATTCTCTACCCGAATTGACAAAGATCCCTCGCAACAAGTCCCAATGGTCGAAATTGCTTCTACAACAAGTCCAAGAACTGATGGTGTAAGTCCGCTTTCACTAACATAATAACGGGAACACAAGGAACCAATACGTGAAGTTAATTGCTCGTTTTATTCTCACTGCTCTCTCTTTCCGGTGCTAGACCCATATGCGAGTCTGGAAAACTGGACCTGCTTGTCCTGGTGGAGCTTGCGATGGCTGTCAGTTTGGCATTTTCGGCTTCTCCCAGCCGGTCTCAAAAGGAATCTCACACGGATTCCGATGGAAGTTTGGTCACCGTGGAAAAATTGTTGATGCGTTATGAACGTTCGCTCATTGTCGCTAGTCAACTGGACGCGAAGCTGTTGTCCCAACTGGAGGAGCCCACAAAATGTGAGCCGATCATAATGCAGGCCATCAATCAAGCCAGGCAAGCACTTCTTCCTGTCAATATGTTTTCTGCAAGGATCGTTGATTACGAAACTCTCCTATGAGAGTTCCAGTTCGAAATTGACCTTTAAGAAAGTCTCCCATCGCTGGAAAGCGTTGGAAGTACTGTACCTCTATGTAATGTCTGAAGAATACTCATCACAATATGCAGAACAACACATCTAGGAGAAATAGTTATTTTTCAGGTGTTTATTTTCAAGCCACTTACAGATACCATAGGAAAGATGATGCGGGTGCTGAGAATAGGCGATGCTTACGAAAGTTAAGAGCAGCTTGATGTGGAACAGTGATGCTAACGGATCTTTGATTATCACTGAACCCGACCGCATCTCCTGCTAACAATTGCAATTACGAAGGGAGTGACACACACGAGCGTTTATTACAGTAACCACAGTGGGGAATAACAGTAAAAATCACATTAACTCAAATTATCGGAGTTCGTGTGGATCATAAATTTTCTTGCGTCTCTTGCCGTTCTTTTAAATTTATACTATTTACCCACTCCACACTTGAAATGGGAGGAGGAAAATAGAATACACCAGTCTTTTTGACCTGTTGAGTTTCAATGCCTTTACAGAAATACTTGAAAACGAACCAGACAGTTGACTACAGTTACGATCAATCATGAATACGAGTTTACCACAGCTAACTTCTCTCTGCCCTCTGATTGGTCTAACTACCTTACAACCTCTGAGGGACTAAACCGGATCGATCCCAGGTAGTGAAAGTTGAAGTTACTGAACCAAATTGTTTTAGACTCAAGGTTAGGAATCAATTCACCTACCTGATCACTTCGGCTATTGCTTGAGTATGCGCTTAAACACCCTCACATTAATGTGTCTAATTGTGGGATCTGTTTTCCCGTGTTTCCTGTTTAATACATGAAGGGCTTAATCATGACTTAATGGCTTAATAATGAAGTGTTAAAAACAATTATTTCGACAAACTGTTGCTTCATCGTTGGTAGGAGCCATCAGAAGTACGCATCCACTGTGGATTCTGCATGACGAATGTTCTCATAAAAAAATCCACCACGGGCGTGGATCCATTGGAGACTGCTGTTCCTACTGGTCAACACCCGTGGGCACGGACCATGCTCTGCTATGAGCGAGATTCTCCCTGCACCTAGTAAACAACCGCAGAAAAACCATCGAAGACGGATGTCCACAATACAGTATCAGCAACGGTTGCAAATCGACCTTCAAAGCGGAACTATCAAATCGCCTCTCAGCTCAACCATCAGCCGGAGGACTCACTGAACACTGGACGACCATCAAGGAAGCGATCTAAACATTGATCAAAACAACGACAAATCCTGGCGCACGATCAAATCATTTCGTTGGATCTTCCCGACTTTGGTTGCCTTGCCGGATTCAAAATACGAAAAAGCGCGCAAATCCCTTAAACGCCAACTCATCAGGAGTCTTAAGAATGACCGCGATAAGTGGTGGGTAGACAAATGTAGAGTAATGGAGAAGGCTGCGGCTATCGGTAATAGCCGCAATCTTTTTCGTTTAAGTAACATGACAAAACAAAGGAAGGTAGGCATCAGTTTTTCAGTTTGAACAACCATTAACCACGCATATTCGAGTGCCGGTTTTGGTTGCTATCTTTTGGCTGTCCATTTGGATGAAGAATAGGAGAAGAAAGGAAAGTTGAAAGTGGAGTCGAAAAGAAAATGGAGAAGTTCAGTGGTCTAAGGTTGCAAAGAAATTAAGGAGATGCACGAACGCCACTGTTTACGACATCCAGCCATATCGCTCAGTGTCTCTAACCATCGGGTACGATCATCCCGAGGTCCCCAGCCAGGGAGCCTAACAGGACCTATGTGAGCCAGTTTCCTGGTTAGGGTTTTCATACCCTCGTGCCAGGTTTTAGCTTGACCACCCTTGGCTTTTTTCCACTCTGTATCTGCTTCGGCGAACATCGCTCGCCGTGGTAACCTACCTGGTGACATGCGTAACACATGTCCCAGCCAGCGTAATCTATGGAGGTTGACCACTTGCTCCAGTGGGCGACCGTATTTATCCAAAACTCTGCCCCTAACCTCAGCATTGCTCATCCGGTTACCCCAACAGATTCGTGCAATGCTGCGTAGACAGCGGTGTTCAAACACCGACAGTCTGTTTTTATATTGTTTTCCTAATGGCCAATTTTCTGCACGGTATAGCAGGACTGGCCGAACTGTCGCGGCATACACTCGACCCTTCACAGACAGCCGGATGTCGCGACGGCGTCACAGATGTCTCAAGTTAGCAAATGCCAACCGAGTCTTCTGTATGCGAGCTGACACTTCATCCGTGATGCGTCCACCGGGTGAGATGTAGCTGCCCAAATAACAAAACTTATCCACCTGCTCTATTACTTCCCCAGTTAGAGTGAGGCTGGGTGCTGGACC